GTATGTTTCTTTCCACACTACTCCTCCTCCCAGTCTCACTCACCCTTCAAGGATCATCTTAAGTATCACTCTTCCCAGGAAGTCTTTCTCTCCTCTCTGCCATCACCATAGCAGAATCCAGCATCTACTTTGATCATAGCATTTGCCACGCTGGATAGTAATCTCCCCCATCAAGTACCTATTTTGCTTCCTTAATTAGACTATGAGCCAATGACCTGCTTAATTTTGTTTCTAACGCACCATCACAGTGTCCAATGTAGAGTTGGTAGAGTCAGAATATTCTTTGAAGCAGTGATTGGATAGTCACTTGAATTGCCCTTCCCATTGATTTCATAGGTAGATCATATGTTTTTTGTTATCACAAACACCAATTAAGGATGACTCTCGGGAAACACTGGCACAGGGAAATCTAGGAATTGGATCATTCCAGAGATAAAAGGGGATGTTAGAGCGATGTTTCCTGAGCTGGACTGTGCACTAGTGTCTGCAGGGGAGACTGTGAATAATACAGTACCTTGGCTAATAGTGCAGTGACCTTCTGAATTAGAATTTCAGGGGGGTGAATCCAGGAACCTGCATATTAAACAACGTCCACAGATAATTGTGATGCACAATCAGGCTAGGAATTCCTGATGCAGGATCGAATTGGGATAGTTTCCAGCAAGGTTGAGATGGCAGAGCTAGTGCTCAGAATTGAGGGGAAATCTCCTAACACCTGATTCTCAATGGTTGTCTCCAATACCATTTGGCCCTTGAATTTGCAGGAAACTCACCAGTACCTGTATTAATTATGGGTTAGCATAGAGTAACTGCCACTTTAAAGAGTGCACCAATCTAAATGCTATCTGAACCATCATTTAGGTTTACAAGGGGTGTCTTCAGGACTCATCCCTGAAGTTTTTCTGGGGTAAAAACCTCATCTCCTGTTTTAAGATCCTAGGTGCTTAGCTGTGCTTGGAAGTGGAAGTCTGCAGTAATTTTCCTCCAGAAAATCATTATCTCAGTCATTACTGTGGGAAACACCTGGGTAATTTCCACTGGGTTTATGGATATTTCAATCAGAGAGAAAGAAGTGACCAATGCAATGTGGAGAAAAATGTTTTCTCACCTCGTGGGCCAGGTGGCCCCACGGGGCCGGGGGGCCCTGGAGGTCCGGGATATCCTTGAGAATCACAGGGCCCTTGAATTTCTGGAGAGTTGACTTCGGCCACGGCTGATACAACAGACAAAGCTAAAATCCCGACACCTAGAGCAGGGGATCAATGGATAAAAGTTCACAGAAGTTGAAAGTTGGTGCTGCTTCTCTTGAAGGATTATGTTCCCAGCACTGTTTGGGGAAGCAAATTCTCACAA